TTCCACTCTTTTTTTAGTTTGTTGAGAGGTGGTTTTTTTTTTTTTGTTTTCTTTTGAGACAGGGTCTTACTCTCTTGCCCAGGCTGGAGTACAGTGGCGTGATCATGACTCACTGTAGCCTTGAAACTCCCTGGCTCAAGCAAGCCTCAGCCTCCTGAGTAGCTGGAACTACAAGCACATGCACACTTGGCTAATTAAAACTTTTTTTTGGTAGAGACGGGGTTTTACTTTTTTGCCCTAGTGGGTCTCAAACTCCTTGGTTCAAGGGATCCATCCCTCTTTGCCTCCCAAAGTGTTGGGATTATAGGCATAAGCTACCGCATCTGACTGTGAGAGTTTTTAGTCATAAATGGGTATTGGATGTTGTCTGGTGCTTTTTCTGTATCTAATGAGATGATCATGTTGTTCTTGCCCTTTAGTTTATTAATATGGTATATTAACATTAATTGATATTTAGATGTTAAAACAACCTTGCATTTATTCCTGGAATAAATCCTACTTGGTTATGGTGATAATTGTTTTTATTTGTGGTGGTATTCAATTTGCTGGTGTTTGGTCCAGGATTTTTGCATCTCTGTTCCTGAGGGACTTGATATGTAGTTTCTTTTCCTTTGGTGCCTCTCAGGGTAATTCTGGTCTCCTTAAACGATTTGTGAAGTGCTTCCTTTTTACCTATTTTCTGAAAGAGTTTGTGGAATTTGGTTACTGTTTTTTTAAATGTTTGGTAGAATTCACTAGTGAAGCCATTTGGGCTTCAGCTTTCCTGTTTGGAAAGCTCTTTGTAAGAATTTTTTCTTTTCAGTTTATTCAGATTTTCTATTTCTTTTTGAGTTAATTTTGGTACTTTGTGCCTTTTTAGGAGTTTATTCGTTTCATCATTTACATCATCTAAGGTTTTTCAAAGTATTCCTTTATAATCCTGTTGATTTCTGTAAAGTCAGTAGTGATATCCCCTCTTTCTTTCTTTTTTATGAGGCAGAGTCTTCCTCTGTTGCCCAGGCTGGAGTGCAGTGGCACAATCTCAGCTCATTGCAACCTCTGCCTCTCGGGTTCAAGTGATTCTCCTGTCTCATCCTTCAGAGTAGCTGGGATTACAGGCATGTGTCACCTTGCCCAGCTAATTTTTTTAGTAGAGACAGGGTTTTGCCATGTTGGCCAGGCTAGTCTTGAAATCCTAACCTCAGGTGATCCATCCACCTTGGCCTCCTAGAGTGCTGGGATTACAGGCCTGAGCCACTGCACCTTGGTGCCCTCTTTAATTTCTGATTTTAGGAATTTGTTCTTTCTCCCTTTTTTTCTTGATCAGTCTAGCTAAAGGGTCATCAATTTTTTTGATCTTTTCGAAGAACCAATCTTTGGTTTAATTTGTTTTTCTGTTTTCTAATTTTTTAAATTTTATCTATTTCCACATCAGTATTTATTATTTCCTTCTGCTTGCTTTGCGTTTAGTGTACTCTTACATTATTATCTGTTAAACAATGTCACTGGAACTTAATTCACAGCTGAAATTATTTTAGCTACTTCATAATGTAGCAATAATTTTTATTGATGTTATTTTTTTTACGTGTCCTTCAAGCTGCTTTAATAACTGATTTTAAAACAGAGCTTTTTTAAAAAAATCAGAGTAGGCCTGTCATTCTTATACAGTAGGTTTATTTGTCATTCCAATGAAATTTACATAGAATTAACTCATCGTAAACAAAATGTAAAAACTGTTTTAAACATTAACACAGCCACTCTTAGGCTTAAGCCACTTTGAGCCTTTGACCTGCTCAAGAATGTCTTTGCATTTTGTAGTTTAGGCTACAGGTAATGGATAGTGAATTTCATCTTCCACACAAACAGCAGGTCCCATTCAGCAGGAGAGCCTTTGTAGCGCTTTACTTCTCGTTGGTTGGCCAGGGTTATCCCTAATGGTCAGGATAGGATAAACTGTATTGTGGTAATAATCCCAAAGTCTCAGTGTCTTAAAACAACGAAAGCTTGCTTCTCTTTCGTACTACATGTTTATCATGGACTGGCAGGAGTCTTAGCTAGTTGTAGTCACTCAAGACTACCACTGGGCTCACAGAGCAGGTGGTAAATGTTTGTGAGTTCTGTGTTAGCAGGAAAACAAACTCTGGAAGAGCTTGCACTAGCAGTTAAGTGCTGTGGCCTGGAGGTGAACACACATCACATCCTCTCACAGCTCATTGACCAGAGTTAGTCACAAGTCACTCATTGGCCAGAGTTATGTTCCCAACCATAGGGGGCTTCGAAGTGCATGCTTTTCTTAATGAAGAGAGCCAGAAATATTGGGTGGAAACACTAAAGGCTACCGTATCACTCTAGTTCAGGCCGCTGTCACTGGATTGCTAAACCAGGTCTCCTGGTTTAGCTTCTTTCCTGTTCATCCTTCATAAAGCAGTGATTTTTCTCGTTAGATCATGTTGCTTTCTGCTCAAGCTGATCATTATTGTTTTTCAGATAAAGTCACATTTTTATTGCAACCTATGTGCCTGCCTGATCTGGCCTCAAATTATCTCTTAGGCCTAGTATCATACTGTTTTCCTTGTACTCTGTCCTAGTGATACTGACTTGTAGCTCCTCCAACATGCTTTATTCTCTCATGCCCCTTTTACTCATACTATTTTCTCTTCCTGGAATATTCTTTCTTACCTCCTACCCCCTTTGTTTTGGTTCTGTCCTGTTCTTTTAAGTTTCATCTTAAAAGTCATATTATTCTCATTCTCCAGTGTGAATTCAGCGCATAACCTTTGAGTTCTTATAACACTCACTCTCTGCCGGAGCTCCCAATGTACTCCATTGCAATGACATGATTCCTTGTTTGCCACTCTGCCCTCAGTATCTGGCCTAATCGCTGACTTGTAGTAAGTACTCAATAAATATTTGTTAAATGTCGAAACAAATTACGGGACAGGGTGTAGGAGAAAGTTAATAGTATACACTGTTAAAAAAAATTTTTTTTTTTTTTGAGATGGAGTCTCACTTTTGTTGACCAGGCTGGAGTACAGTGGTGCTGTCTCAGCTCACTGCAACCTCCGCCTCATGTGTTCAAGCAATTCTCCTCTCAGCCTCCCGAGTATGTGGGACTACAGGTGTCTGTTACCATGCCCGACTAATTTTTGTATTTTTAGTAGAGACAGGGTTTCACCTGTCTCTGTCATGTTGGTCAGGCTGGTCTTGAACTCCTGACCTCAGGTGATCCACTCACTTTGGCCTTCCAAAGGGCTGGGATTGCAAGTGTGAACCACTGTGCCAGGCCAGAAAATCTGGTTATGGAGGACCTGTGTACTTCCCATCTGTTGCCAAGAATCCAGCGTTTATGAAAATATATGTGGTTTTAACAGTGCTCAGTTCCTGGTTACCAAAGTATTTTATATACCCAAGCTTCACGAGTCCTTTTAAATATAAAAAATACTTTGTGGAAGAGTGGTTTCAAACTGGCAATTAAGATTTTTTTTTTTTTTTTTTCCCCGAGATGGATTTTCACTCTTGTTCAGGCTGGAGTGCGATGGCGCAATCTTGGCTCACTGTAACCTCTGCTTCCCAGGTTTAAGTGATTCTCCTGTCTCAGCCTCCCAAGTAGCTGGAATTACAGGTACCCCGCTCCTATCTCTGGCTAATTTTTGTGTATTTTTAGTAGAGATGGGGTTTCACTGTGTCAACCAGGCTGGTCTCAAACTCCTGACCTCAGGTGATCCACCTGCCTTGGCCTTCCAAAGTGCAAGGATTACAGGCGTGAGCCACCACACCCGGATAAGATTCTTTAAATTGAAAATAACAGGTTTCGTCTCTTTACCACAGTTATTTATTGTACATTAAAAAATTCCATCAGTAGTGGACATTTAAAAAAAAAAAGTCTCTTATGATACCTAGTGCTTTTTTTGGTCCCCATAGCCCTCTTCATATACCAGCTATTCTAATTCTCCATGTTTGTTTTCAGACCTTACTGATATGTGTATTAATTTATATTATCATTGATAATTGTATTAAAACTTTTGTATTCTGAGTTTATTTTTTACTTTTTCTTTTTTGGGACAGAATCTTGCTGTGTTGCCCATGCTGGAGTGCAGTGGCACCATCTTGGCTATCTGCAACTTCTGCCTCCTGGGTTCAAGCGATTTTCCTGCCTCAGCCTTCCAAGTAGCTGGGACTACAGGTGCCTGCCACTACGCCCAGCTATTTTTTTTTTTTTTTTTTTTTTTTTTGTATATTTAGTAGAGACGGGTTTCCCTATGTTGGCTAGTTTGGTCTTGAACTCCTGACGTTGTGATCTGCCTGCCTCGGCCTCCCCAAAGTGCTAGGATTATAAGCATGAGCCACTGCACCTGGACCTTACTTTTAAATATATTTTTCTATCTTGTCAAAATTTTCAGTGGCTTTTTTTTTTTTTTTAGATGTATTCTTGCTCTGTCACCAGGCTGGAGTGTAGTGGCACTATCTTGGCTCATTGCAACCTCCACCTCCAGGTTTAAGTGATTTCCTTCCCTCAGCCTCCCGAGTAGCTGGGACTACAGGCATGCACCACCATGCCTGGCTAATTTTTTGTATTTTAGTAGAGACGGGGTTTTACCATGTTGGCCAGGATGGTCTCGATCTCCTGACCTCAAGATCAGCCCGCCTCGGCCTCCCCACCTACCTCAGCCTCCCAAAGTGCTGGGATTACAGGCATGAGCCACCGTGCCCGGCCCCAGTTGCTTTTTAATAATCCATTAAGTTGATGTGGCATATTTAGTTAAAAGCTCAGTATGGCTGGGTGTAGTGGCTCACACCTGTAATCCCAGTACTTTGGGAGGCTGAGGTGGGCGGATCACTAGGTCAAGAGATGGAGACCATCCTGGCCAACATGGTGAAATCCTATCTCTACTAAAAATACAAAAATTAGCTGAGCCTAGTGATGTGCCTGTAGTCCCAGCTACTTGGGAGGCTGATGCAGGAGAATCGCTTCAACCCAGAGGCAGAGGTTGCAGTGAGCTGAGATTGTGCCACTGCACTTCAGGCTGGCAACAGAGTGAGACCTTGTCTCAAAAAAAAAAAAAAAAAAAAAAGCTTAGTTATTTCCAATTTTTTGTTACTTTGAGTAATGCCATTGTAAAAATCTTTGTACCCTAAGATTGCTCAGGATACAGTCCCAGGAGTGGCATTTCTGACTTAAGGGTAGTATAGTGGTTAAGAACATGCTTTGGTTTGCTCATGGGTGATAGCTAAATAGTGTTAAGGTCACAAAATATCTATATAGCTCTTGCAATTCCAAGAAAGAAAACTACCTTGTTTCTCAACAGGTGTTCAGTGGCCTTTTTGCAGTGTTTTCTGCCTAGGTTATGTAAGCGCTTTCCTATATCATGCATTTCTTTTTCTTTCTTTCTTTTTCTTTCTTTTTTTTTTTTTTTTTTTGAGACAGAGACTTGCTGTCACCAGGCTGGAGTGCAGTGGCGTGATTTTGGCTCACTGCAGCCTCCATCTCTCAGGTTCAAGCGATTCTCCTGCCTCAGCCTCCCAAGTAGCTGGGACTACTGGCACGCCCCACCACATCCAGCTAATTTTTGTATTTTTAGTAGAAACGGGGTTTTACCATCTTGGCTAAGATGGTCTCGATCTCTTGATCTCGTGATCCACCCACCTCGGCCTCCCAAAGTGATGGGATTACAGGCGTGAGCCACTGCACCCAGCCTATATCATGCATTTCTAACTAAACAGTTTTGTGAGAATTTTGTGCAAATATACTGTGGCATTTTTGATTATTTTGAGACTTAGTCATATCCTATATAAAACTCAAGTCGTTAGTTATATAAGTTGTTTTCAATAAATTAGAAAATAGTACTTTTTAATAAACAGGTACTTTATATGTAAGTGGAAGTATTTTACTTTAGACTTAGAAACACATTTTAAATAGCATTCTTCTTGCCACACACAATTTTTTGAGCTACATGAAGTGGTCAGGCATAAAATTATTTTAGCATCATTAGCCTTGCCTGTGTTTTCCAGCTTACCTTTTGCTGCTCAATATTGAACTCTAGGAATCTTTTATCCATTTTTTTGAAGCGTCAGCGATAAATAGGTAAATTCACATTTGTGAAGTTTTACTGTATATTTAATGAAAGGGCTACACACACAAGCAGTGCATATTTAATTTGTTTTTCCCCTTCTACTAGAAATCTTTTAACCATTCAGTCAGAATTTGTTTTGCAGTAACAGTTGGTTTCAGAAGGTTTTTTTTTTCTCAGAAGAGATTGAACTGCTTTCAGAGATTTTGTTCATCTTCTGTCATGTTAGACCACTTCCGTTTCACGTTTTCTGATGTTGTCCATCATACTTCTAAGAGGGTTGGGTTCACTTTTCAAGTCTTTCACGGTTTTGTTTTTTACACAGCAGCAGCAGTCAAGCACTTCATAAAGGAAAGCCAGCACCACTAAAGCTACCACTGTAAATATAAATAAAAGCAGGATGACAAAGCAGGCAGTGTTCCAGTTGTCATGGAAAGGGTAAATTTTTTGAACTTGAAAACCAAGGTACTGATAAACAGAGGCAGTGGTTTCATTCCAGTGGCTGGAAGCCATTCTTAGAGATCCCACTTCTTATATTGCTCTTTCGAATCTATAAAAAGGTAGAAAATGAATTTATGTAAGCAAACTACAGTTCTGTTAATTCAAATCTCAGTACTAAGATTTCTTAGTAAACTTGTATAGGCAACATGAATCTTCCTTAATTAATGCCTAAATGGTAGTTTAGAATTTTTTATATATCTGTGCCAACATACTTAGTAAACCATACCCTGTTTTTTAATGTATATTATTTGTTAGATGAACACGTATGTTTAAGATTCAGCCAGGCATGGTGGCTCACGTCTGTAATCCTAGCACTTTGGGAGACCAAGTTAGGCGGATCACTTAAGTCCAGGAGGTGAAGACCAGCCTGGGCAACATGACGAAACCCTGTCTCTACAAAACATACAAAAATTAGCCAGGCATAGTGGTACGTGCCTGTAGTCCAGCTGTTTGGGAGGCCAAGCTGGGAAAATTGCTTGAGCCAGGGAGGTGCAGGTTGCGGTGCGCTAAGATCGTGGCACTGCACTCTAGCCTTGATGATGGGATTGAAGCCCTGTCTCAAAAAAAAAAAAAAAAAAAAAAAAAATTCACATACAGAAATTAACTGCAAATGGAAGGGGAAAAGGCAACTGTATTGGTTTAAAACTTGATTAAAGCAGTGGCCAGTGAGCTATTATCTATGAAAAACCTAGGCGTTTTAAGGTTGTGTTCTTCAAACTGCCCCTGGAAAAGCTTTTATCATTAGCATGGTAGATTCTTCTTACCTTTTTGGTTCAGTGTATTTCTGTCTTCTGTTTCCCCTCCGTTAATCTTTGATGGCAGGTGATCTCAATCAGGAAATAGTGACTGAGTGAAAAATAGTAGAGAAAGCCAAACAATGCCAGTTTTCAGAATGAGGATACTATAATTTTAGGTTAAAGTTGTCTGTGAAGAATCCTTAATCTTAGGGTTGTAGATGATAGTCTTAAATGTTTCATATATCTATGTGACCCATAGACATAAATATTTTAAAAAAGACAAATTTAGCCTTCCCAAAGGTATGAGTTATTAAATTATTATTTAATTTCACAAAAGAAGCTAGTGAGTTCAACTTTCAGTTGAACTTAATTATTGCATTAAGTTTAGCTCTTGTTGACCTGATACTTGTTAGTTCTTAAATGGGGACTGTTAGGATTTAACATTTGATAGTATGGAACTACAGTAATAAGGAACTATTTTAACACTTATTTTTAAAAATTATACCTGTGCACTAAGAACATTTTGGAAATTGGAGAAAAAATGTAATTCTACTTCATTAATTTATTGATTGCCATTCTGTATGCTTTCCCTTTACTACATACTTGTAAACAGGATTTTATTTCATTTATTTATTCTTTTTAGACGGAATCTCGCTCTGTCGCCAGGCTGGAGTGCAGTGGTGTGATCTTGGCTCACTGCAACCTCCACCTCCCTGGTTCAAATGATTTTCCTGCCTCAGCCACCTGAGTAGCTGAGACTAAAGGCATGTGCCACCATGCCCGGCTAATTTTTGTATTTTTAGTAGAGATGGGGTTTCACCATGTTGGCCAGAATGGTCTTGATCTCCTGACCACCTGATCCACCTGCCTCGGCCTCCCAAAGTGCTGGGATTACAGGCATGAGCCACTGTGCCCAGCCAGGATTTTACTTTTATAACAATTGCTTATTGATTACCTAGTGTGTACCAAATACTTTTGTAAATTCTGGAGATACTTTGTGTGTGAGAGTGTTTCATTTAACAGAAACTACAAAGTAGTATGAACCCCATGTACTTTTTTTTTGTTTTTTTTCTTAGTAACCTTGCAGATGCAGGGCCTCAGAAATTGGGTTAAGACTCAGAATTGCTCCTCTCCAAAGAAATCTTTAGTAAAAGGGCAGAGATTTATACGATCTGAAGAGAAATCAGAGTATCCCATGTACTTATATAATGCAATTTCATTCATCAACCCTTGGCCCATCTCTACCTCTACCTGTTTGCTTCCACCCCATTGGTTGTTTTAAAGCAAATTCAAGACATCATTTCACCTAGAAATATTTCAGTATATATCTCCCAGTGGTGAGGACTCTGTTTTTAAACATAACCACAATATTATTTTCACATCCCAAACTCAAAGTTGTAACAATATAATTCCTTACATTTCTTTGTTTTCTTAGTAAATTTTTAAAATTTGGGGTTGATAAAATTATGTTTTCTAAGGTTTTTGTTTTCTTAGGTTTGCTTGATAAATGACTTCACCTCTCTGGATGGATTTGCCTCCTTTGTTTTTTCCTGCATTTTGAAGGTTAAACTGATGATCTGAGTCCAGAAGTAAAGTCTTAAATCCATGTTTTCTTTTGGATTTAGGAATCCTGTTTTATGGTACTTGGTGACCCTTTGTCTTGAAGTTAGAGACAGACTGATGTACAGTAACAGAATCAGTTGCTTCTTTTAGTTTGGGATCATACAAAAATACATGGTCTGGAACAGAGATGTGTAACTTCCTATTACATTATGTTTTTTTCCAACTATACCCAGCCTTTCAAAATTATCCTTTTATCCTTTGCATTTTCTCTTCAGAGTACTTCTTATAGAAAGCAGGGATGCTACTTTGCACAGTTCCAGGGAGCACCATTCATATTGTGTTGTGGGGTGCTGTTCATGTAGATTGTGATGTAAATGGTGCCCCTTTGTATAATGTGAATATCCTGATAGGCTACCCTTTCAACCTCTGTCTTGTTGCTTCCTTTAGTTCTAATCACCATGCACACAAAAATTAAAGTAACTCATAGAAACTTATTTAAATGGGGACAACAGTTAGGTCCTTTTTGACCCAGCCTTCCGAACAGAGTAGTGTCATGCATACACGCCCACACTCAAATGCCTTAAAAATGCTCAGCTTTTGGAGGTCCTTTAAGATATATAGCACTGCCAAAATACGCATATTCCTGTGAGGGGTAGCACACATTATTATAGCTATTTTTGCTTAAGTATAAATGAGTTGCAGGTCATTTTTGAAGAACAGAGCTAATGAGAGGGAGAGGAGGAAGGGCAGGTCTTTTGGGAAACTGAGGGCACTGCACTTGTGTGAGTGGGCAAAGAGCAAAAAGAATTGCTTGGGGGTCTGTCCAGTCATTTTATCTGGGCTAGTTGAGAATCACCCCAGCGTTTATGGAAATATCCCTTGGACTTTCTGTTAAGGCCTTCAGGCTGATCCCTTTTTAAAGTCTGGAAATTTCTTTTGAGGCTTTTCTTCTAAACCTGGCATTAGAATAATGTAAGGGGAAGGATGATAGGGAGAGAAAAGAGAAGAGAAAAGCAGTTCCTACATTCTGCCTCTCAGATTAGTTTAATCTGCCTTATTGGTGAAGATAATGTTAATTTAAAATGTTCACTATTGATTTAAGAAATATCATTATAGTAAATTTTTTTTTTTTTTTTTTTTTTTTTTTTTTTGAGACAGAGTCTTACTCTGTTGTCCAGGCTAGAGTGCAGTTGTACAGTCTTGGTTCACCGCAACCTTTGCCTCCTGGTTTCAAGTGATTCTCCTGCCTCAGCCTCCCTGGTAGCTGGGATTACAGGTGTCCACCACCACGACTGGCTAATTTTTGTATTTTTAATAGAGATGGGGTTTCACCACGTGAAAGGCCAGGCTGGTCTCAAACTCCTGACCTCGAGTGATCTGCCGACGTCAGCCTCCTAAAGTGCTGGGATTACAGGCATGAGCCACCATGCCTGGCTAATTTTTGTATTTTTACTAGAGACGGGGTTTCACCATATTGGCCAGGCTGGTCTTGAACTCCTGACCTCGTGATGCACCCACCTTGGCCTCCCAAAGTGGTAGGATTACAGGTGTGAGCCACCACACCTGACTCTAGGATATGTTCTTCAGTGAAAAGAAAACGGTGTAGGACAGTATATATAGGAAAAGGGGACACATAAACTCTTGTTTGCTTGTGTCTGCATAGAAATCTTGGAAAGACCTACAAGAAATTAATCACAATGATGGTGTGTATGGGGATCCATAGGGAGGAGAGTGAGGCACAGGGATATATTTGAGGCTTCTTAACCTATACCTGTGTTCCTTTGTTTCTTTCTACCATTTGAATTTATTATTTATTTAAAACCAAAATAAATCATCTCTTTTAAAAGGAGAAATAAAAAATACTGTTTCTTATTCTTGGCTCTCTTAAAAGTCTTTTGTTAGCCAATCAGCAGCCCTTGGGGCTGCTCTGCTTATGGAGTTGTATGGAATAACCATTCTTTTATTATTATTATTTTTAGCTCTTCTCTTTTAATTCAAAAAGAGAAAATATCTTTGCACTTTCAAAATTTAACACATCTACTTAAATCAACTATTAATATTTACTTATATAATGTAGTAATGCAAAATGTTAGCCTAATACAACTTCCAGAGTGCTACTGAGTGTTCCATTACTTTCTTAATAAACTTGCTTTCACTTAAAAAGAGTCTCTTATTTTTCTGTTTACTACATTTATTGAGTTTTCTGGATTCTAAAAAATTCAAATTGGGATTAGTAAACACTGTCATTTTGGTTAGATTGTATACTTTATTCACATATAAAAATGCTTATAATTTGCTTGGCTGGTTGCAGTGGCTCATGGCTATAACCCCCATACTTTGGGAGGCCCTGACAGGAGGATCACTTGAGTCCAGGAGGCCCAGACAGGAGGGATCACTTGAGCCCAGGGATTTTTATTTTTATTTTTATTTTTGAGACAGAGTCTTGCTCTGTTTCCCAGGTTGGAGTGCAGTGGCATGATCTTGGCTCACTGCAACCTCAGCATCCTGGTTCAAGCGATTCTTCTGCCTCAGCCTCCTTAGTAGCTGGGATTACATGTGTGTACCACCATGCCCAGCTAATTTTTGTATTTTTAGTAGAGATGGGGTTTCACCATGTTGGCCAGGCTGGTCTTAAACTCCTGACCTCAGTTAATCCACCTGCCTTGGCCTCCCAAAGTGCTAGGATTACAGGCGTGAGCCACTGCATCTGGCCAAGCCCAGGAGTTTGAGACCAGCCTGTGCAACGTAGTGAGTCCCTGTCTCTACAAAAATAAAAATTAGCTGGGCATGGTAGTGTGCGCCTGTAGTCTCAGCTGCTTGGGAGGTTCAGGTAGGAGGAGAGTTTGAGCCCAGGAGGTTGAGGTTGCAGTGAGCTGTGATTTCTCCATTGCACTCCAGCCTGGGTGATAGAGTGAGACCCTGTCTCAAAAACAAAAACAAAAAAAACCCAAATTACGCTTGTAATCATGACTATGGGTAACACCATAGGCTACCTCCAAAGGCACTTACATGCTTTTCTGGAAGTGTCTGAGCAGTTTAAGAAAGTGTATAGGTTTGGTTTATGTTGTAAATGATGATGATTTGCCTTGTGAGTGTATTGATAACTGAGCGGCTCAAAACATTCATCATTTGTTAGCTTCTGGGCATATCTGAAAAAAGTAAACACTGTAATATGGAGTCATTTTCTACTTTAAATTTAGTGTGGCATGTTCTTTCTAAGTATGGTAGAGCTCTAGTAATTTTTGATGGTTAATTTAGGGGAAAAGCTAAATCTTACTTTCATGGATTAGGCATAATTAAGCATGTAGAAAGAAATATGCCGTTAGGCCTGTAATCCTAGCACTCTGGGAGGCCAAGGTGGGTGGATCACCTGAGGTCATAAGTTTGACACCTGCTTGACCAACATGGCGAAGCCCCGTCTCTGCTAAAAACACAAAAATCAGCCTGTTGTGGTGGCAGGTGTGTGTAATCCCAGCTTTTCAGGTGGCTGAGGCAAGAGAATTGTCTGAACCTGGGTGGCGGAGGTTGCAGTGAGCTGAAATTTCACCACTGTACTCTAGCCTGGGCGAAAGAGTGCGACTCTGTTCCCTCCCCCCCACCCCCCCCAAAAAGAAATACATCATTAGGATTTTCTCCTATCCTGAGACTTAGTTTTGAAGTTAAAATGTAAGTTTATATTAAGCAAGTGCTGTAAACATTCTTTATAAAAAGCAAGAGAAAATGATGTATAAAAAAGTAAAAGAACAGTCTTTTTCAGGATTTCCCCACCCACCCCTTAAAATTTGATTACAGGAATGGGGAGCTTTAAAGTAAATAACATAATTTTTTTTTTAGTATATGTGGTTTTGCTTTTTTTTTGAGATGGAGTCTTGCTCTGTCTCCCAGGCTGGAGTGCAGTGGTGCGATCTCGGCTCACTGCAACCTCCGCCTCCCAGGTTCGAGCAATTCTCCTGCCTCAGCCTCCCAAGTAGCTGGGATTACAGATGTGTGCCACCATGCCTGGCTAATTTTTGTATTTTTAACTAGAGACTGGATTTCACCATGTTGGTCAGGCTGGTCTGGAACTCCTGACATCGTGATCAGTCCGCCTCAGCCTCCCAAAGTGAGCCACCGCGCCCAGCTGTGTTTTTGTTTTATATTAATTTTGATATGTTTACTTGTATTTCCAAAGGCCCCAGTGGAGTATTGATGGGGATGGGACTTGGAACTGTTCTGGAACCTTTGTGTTGGCAGATGAGAATAAAGTTAGGCTTTTGGTGTATTTATGGTAAAAGCCTTTGAATTGAATTCTCAAGTGCTTTTAAGCATATCACTTTGAAATATGATCAATTAATCTTAATAGCCTGTAAATATAGAGCAACTCACTTAATTTAAGTTCTGGAACTTAGGCCATGTCTCTAGTCAGCTTGGTGAGACAGCAGTGAGCCTCCGTCTGTGCTAACAATAGACATATTCCAAGCAAAATGTAGGCTGATGATACAGTGTTAAAATATTGTGGGTGGTAGGGGTTTCTGTTTACAGTTTACCTGAAATTTGAGTTGTAAGTTAACTGTTTTATTTGACAATGTTTTTATTTTATCTGAGACTTTTTTTTGGTGCTTCTGTACTTTCTGTAGCAAGCACATCTGGTTTCTAGGTAATTAACCTCACTGTGCTGAACCTGGACAGAGCTAAGATCTTGTTACAGCAACCTTTGGGTTTTGCAGGGGATACATTGGTCATGCTAGCCAAATGCTGACTAAGAAAAGGGATAGAAATTATGAAGAAAAAAAAAAGCCTTTAAATAAACTTACCAACAAGGTAAAAGGGCAGAAGTTGGCTCTTTAGGTCAGTGTATATAGTATGTATCCTGGAGTTCTAACATCTAGTAAACAATGAAATTTTTATGCTTGAATAGTATGAAATTAGAAATTTGATCAGCAGTTGATACAAATTTTTAACAGACATGAATGATTGCTCTGAGCCACGAAGATAATCTTGTTACCTAGAAAGGTACTTTACTCTCCTTTCATAACCAATTCATCCTAAGACATATTTTTATTTTAAAATGCAGCTAACAAAAAGACTTACTTTGTATTTACTTTAAGGATCAGTTTAAGAATGACTTCAACATTATATTTAAATGCTGTGATAAATCGATATCAAAAATGAAAGACTAAGAAGGTTTTTGTTTAATATTAGCACAACTTGTATATTACAGTAAGATAAATTTCACAGTGAAGAATTATTTTAATTAAAATGTTAAGGAAGTCTGAAGCTGTATAAATTATCTGTTTGGTTATAATGCAGCTCATATAGTGATACCTTTTATGATGTTTTATATACAAATTAAAATTTTGATAATTTCTTGGCATTCTCTGCATCTACGTTCAAAGTCAAATAAAAATAATTTTGAACTATTTTATCGTTCTAAAAAATATAACAAACTTTCTTATAAGTAACTGTTTTTTAGCAGCCAATATCATTTGCACATAGAATCAGAAAGCTTTAGTCTGGGAGTCGCTTTGGTCTAGGTTTTTCTTTAAGAAAAATCCTTTGTTAAGACAGACCAAACTGCAGAAATGAAATTGCTCAGAGAAAATGAAATTAGCAAGTAACCAGTTAAAATAAAAAGGTATGGTTTACTCTAAGGTCTGGATATAGATCAGGTTCATGTAAAATGTAATGAATTTTCCATTAAGGCACAGATGGTAAGGGCGCTTATCAAACAGCACAAGGCAGTCTTCATATTTTCGTAATAAAATCCTACCAAGCAGTGAAACAAATACATTGCTTTTTTTTTGGATATTTAGTAGGAGCAAAGCTTTCTGGTTGATTTTTCAGGGTAAAATATTTTCCTATTGCATCATAAGGACATGTACCACTAAATAAAAAAGATCATATAAACCTACCTCTTGTCTGAGAGGATGCTGTTGAAGCGATGGTATCGTCTGTTTGTAATGCAGTCTAGTGCACAGCCAAGATGGAGCTGTGCTTCTATTGGTCGAACCACAATGGAGCTGACAGTTTCCTCTGTGTTCATTTGCATTAAGTCTTGCCACCCTTAAGAGTAGATCATTCATAAACTTGAATAGAGCTGTCTGGGGTATCAACTGTCGCCCTTTCTCCTTTATTTTTTGTTCTTAAGCTAAATTCCTGTATAGGAATTTGTGAGTTACTAACAAATTGATGATTCCTTAGTGTTTCATTATAAAATTTCAGATCCTTCAGTAAAGTCTTCAGTGCTAGGGCTGGAAGATAATGTCGGGAGAGGTAGTAACCTAGGAAACAAACAGTTCAGGTTTGCCAGCCTGGTATTTCCTTCAGGAAGTGTGCGTAAAATCTCATACATTAATTTTTCTTTTCTTGTTCTTCCTTTTCTTTCATTACTTGTTCCGTGTATAATTTTTGCCCTCGGGAAGTGATTATTTCCATGTGTTAGTTTGATTTAGGAGGAGTTATGAAGAAGAAGAATTGGTTTTCAGCTTGCCAAGTTGGAAGAGGGCTCGTTTAGGTAAAACACAGTACTTGTAAATGTACATGTACATGGCAAAGTGATCTCCAAGTTGGCTGTTTAGAGACAGAGTATTTTTAGTTAGTGCGTATTATTTAGAGTTGTGGTCTAAGCACAGCAGAATGAAGGTTTTTTATTACAGGAGTGGCTGTTACAACAGCAGCAGACTGGGTACATGCTATATAGGCTTGCTTTTTGAAATTATAGATGAAGGCCTGGCGTGGTGGCTCATACCTGTAATTCCACCACTTTGGGAGGCCGAGGCGAGTGGATCATGAGGTCAGGAGTTCAAGACCAGCCTGGCCAAGTTGGTAAAACCCCGTCTCTACCAAAACTACAAAAATTAGCCAGTCATGGTGGCAGGTACCTGTAATCCCAGCTACTGGGGAGGCTGAGGCAGGAGGGTCACTTGAACCCAGGTGGCAGAGGTTGTAGTGAGCTGAGATCACACCATTGCACTCCATCCTGGGCAACAAAATGAGACTCTGTCTCAAATAAATAAATAAATAGATAGATAAGATAGGATGGATAGATAGATAGATAGGTAGATAGATAGATAGCATAGATGAATTGGTCCATTAGTTGCTGGGGCCATAAAAGAATGCATGGAAATATCTGTATTATAGTCATTAATTCAACAAATATTTGTTGAATGTTTATTCAGCTTGGCATTGAGTTAGTAGTGGATGTTAGAGACATAAATAAGCACAACTGTGTGTGATTAATAATTGGCCATTTGTATGGTGTTTGTCCTTAACATATTGTCATCTCTTTTTCATAGTCTTCCCAGTTCGTTGTTTATACAGTAGTGTAAATATTATTTTACTAAATTTAAACAAGAAAACATTAAATGTGCAGTCACAGGTTTCTGTACTTTGACACAATGGCCGGTTTCAGATGGAATAATCTGTGTAAAGGCTGTTTAATGAGTTTTATCACAGGGTTCACACTGGATTTGAATCTGTACTCTGTCGCTTACTACCCTCAATTTTATTATGTTTAAAAGGGACAGTAATACTTCTTAAGTTGGAATTTTGGGAGGGATTACATATGAATATTTACCATGGTATTTAGCGGATAATAAATATTAGTTACTTTTATTATTACAAGTGTGCCAAATACCTTGAGAAAATGAACTATGCAGGTGATATTTCATAATTAAAATAGTGAATGGAAAAGCACCTATAAGGCATTCTTAATGTTATTGTAACTTTAGACTTCAGTGTGCCAATTAATTGTCAAGATTGTAACAAAGTTAGTTTTAAAGGAAAATTGCATATGAAGTTTCATTTTAGCCTCAAAAAAGCATACTCAATAAAGACTTCACTAATCTCAAAGGAGTATTATATTGCCATCTAGAAGCCGTTGCTTTGGATCTCTGACAGTTGTTACATTTGACTTGTGGTTGTTCTAATGCAATCTTTTGTTTAAATTATTATTACCAACCTGGTGCCGGAGATTGGCTCTCCCCTTCCCTTTTACTTAACCTCTCTCTTTGTGGATCAGCCACATGGGAACTTTATCTGATCTCATGCCTTGCTAATAGAATGTATACTTCTAAGATGTTTTTCTAGTATTTATGATGGATTTTTTACTGTTCCTGCATATGACTAATGGAATGCATTTGTGATGCAGTGGTGTAAGGTTTCTGCCTGTAGGAATGCAACAAAATGATAGATGTTCTGAAAAAGTGATCTTTTTTATAGGTTTTTCCACACCAGGTAGAGAAAGAGAAGGGAGAGTTTCTCAAAGTGGGTAGGCAGTGCTGTGATGCTTTTTAAAGTAAGCATCCATGTTCATGCAGTGACAGTGCCTATGGCTTTTTACTTCTAATTTATCTGTAAAGCTTACTTTAAAATAATTGTGATATTTTTTTTCTATTAGTTTCCACTAATTAATTCCTGTTTTTTGGTCTTAAATTGGTAAGCAGAAATTACCTAATAAGTGATATATTGAACTTTTCATCCCTCAGAAGCAATCCACTCCTTGTGTTAGCTTTATGGATGGGATTGAGGATTGTATTGTTCCCTTGTTAAATAAACTATACTTCTGATTATGGAGCGAGCCTAATCAGAATTAAGAATGAGATAACTACTTTTCCTGAGGACTGAGAAGCAAAGAAAAAAATTAAAAAGTAAAAAGAAAAAAACAAGATAAAGGGGAAGGGGGCCAGGTGCGGTGGCTCACACCTGTAACCACAGCACTTTGGGAGGCTGAGGTGGGTGAATCTCTTGAGCTTAGGAGTTTGAAATCAGCCTGGGAAACATGGCGAAACCCCGTCTCTACAGAAAATACAAAAATTAGCCAGGCATGGTGGCATGCGTCTATAGTCTCAGGAGGCTGGGGTGAGAGAATCACTGGAGCCTGGTAAGTCCAGGCTGCAATGAGCTGTGATTGTACCATTGAGCTCCAGTCTGGGCAATGGGAATGGGACCCTGTCGCAGAAAACAAAGAATGTGATAAAGATATCTTTTTTTGTTTTTGAGACAGTCTCTCTGTGTCTCCCAGGCTGGAGTGCGGTGGCGTGAACAATAAGGATACTTATAAAAAAAACTGTGTTTTAGTGCTTTTAAGTTATTTATATTTTGTTTCTACCCTCAGTGAGAAAATTGGTAGTTTAATGTATATACTCAGAGATTCTGTATTTTTCACCAAAATTTTACAGGGTAGAATTTATTAGATGAAAACTTAAGAAATGATACCAGCATTAAAATTATCTCAGCTGCTCAAGAGTCATAATCACATCTAATATGACCATGTTACTGTTTTTTTGAACTTCATTTTCAGATCATAGCAATGGAACATTTAACTTGAAAGCTCTATCAGGAAGCTCTGGATATAAGTTTGGTGTTCTTGCTAAGATTGTGAATTACATGAAGGTAAGTACTTTTCTCAAATAACAAAAGTCTTATTTAACTTTTTGGCGAAAGAAGGGGATTAGGGTTTTCAGAAGTTAAATTTCTGTATACATTAAAATTGTACATTTTTAATATGTGCAGTTTATTATATGCCAATTTTACCTTAAGCCTTTTATGTTATATTAATTTGGCATTGCAGCAAGTTACCAAAGTATATTTAATCTGCATTAACTCAAGCGTACAATTTCAGCCCACCACTTCACTTCATAAGAGTGTGCCTAGGCAGTAGACATAGCACCTCTTAATGAAATTCAGGCTGGTAAAGCCAATGGGAGGATGTGATGTATTTTTCAGGATGTTACTTGAATTTTTTTTTTTTTTTGAGACGGCCTTGCTCTGTTGCCCAGGGTGGAGTGCAGTGGCACGATCAGAGTTCACTGCAGCCTTGAACTCCTGTGGTCAACCGATCCTCCTGCCTTAGCCTCCCAAGTAACTGGAACTACAGACATGCACCACAATGCCTGGCTAATTTCCTTTTCTTTCTTTTTTTTTTGAAATGGAGTCTCGCTCAGTTGCCCAGTCTGGAGTGCAGTGGCACGATCTCAGCTCACTGCAACCTTTGCCTCCTGGGTTCAAGAGATTCTCCTGCTTCAGCCTCCCAAGTAGCTGGGATTGCAGGTGTGTGCCACTACAGCAGGCTAATTTTTTTTTTTTTTTTTTTTGAGACAGAGTCTTTCTTTGTCACCAGGTGCCAGGCTGGAGTGCAGTGGTGCGACCTTGGCTCACTGCAGCCTCGCCTCCCGGGTTCCAGCAATTCTTCTGCCTCAGCGTCTCGAGTAGCTGGGACTACAGGGACATGCCACCACGCCCAGCTAATTTTTGTATTTTTAGTAGAGTCGGGGTTTCACCATGTTGGCGAGGGTGGTCTTATCTTCTGACCTCGTGATTTGCCTGCCTTGGCCTCCCAGAGTGCTGGGATTACAGGCATGAGTCACTGCACCTGGCCAATTTTTTGTATTTTTAGTAGAGATGGGGTTTCACTGTGTTAGCCAGGATGGTCTCAATCTCAGCATCTTGTGATCTGTCTGCCTCGACCTCCCAAAGTAGTGGGATTACAGGCATGAGCCACCGTGCCTGGCCATTTTTTTAGTTTTAGAAGAGAAGAAGCTCACTGTGTTGCCCCAGGCTGGTCTCGAATTTGTAAGCTCAAGTGATTTTCCCATCTCAACCTCCCAAAGTGTTTGGCTTATAGGCATGAGCCACTGTGCCTGACCAGAGGCTTTAAATCTTAACTAAATTTATTAAAATGAATTTCATTTTTAGCTAAGATGGCTAAGTAATTTTGAATTTGCTCCCCTCTTCTGCCAAACTCTTATTCCCATTTAGTTACTAGTTGCATCTCTTGAAAAAGTCGGACAGTACTGTAATTGTTATTTTAATTTCTTCCATCTATTGCTTAAAATAAATCAGATTTTTAACTGTGCTAAGGCTTTTCTTTTGTAATTTAAGAGACTTGGTATCTAGCTGAGTCTAAATTCTGTGGCATGTATTTGAGTTATAGTATAAATATGTTAGTTTATAACTCCCCATTATTAAATATTTTGACACTGTAGTATTCACAGTTCATTCATTTCCCCACTTGGTAAACAGTTATGAAAGTCTACTCTTTGCTATTTATGGCATAAATGGTGGGAATTCCCAGAAAAAAGTGCCCACCCTCAGGGTTGTCACTCTGTTGAGGGAGACTGACTTTTGAGTGCCATGTTATTTATGGCATAAATGGTGGGAATTCCCAGAAAAAAGTGCCCACCCTCAGGGTTGTCACTCTGTTGAGGGAGACTGACTTTTGAGTGCCATGTTTTTGCTATTCTGTTAATATGGTCTTTACTCCCTAGGTGGCTTCCTTATAACCTTGTCTGTCTTAGAACAGTGAACTTCAGAATTTTTACTCGTGTTACCTAAAACAGTTTTGACAAACTGTGTACCCCTTTGTACATATTTAAGTTGATAACTAGATGATGTTAGTAAAAGCTTAAATAGTGGCATTATTCAAGCAAAAAAATTATTATTTTTTTTTTTTGAGATGGAGCCTCGTTCTGTTGCCCGGCTTGAGTGCAGTGGCACAATCACAGCTCACTGCAACCTCTGCCTCCCAGGTTCAAGTGATTCTCCTGCCTCAGCCTTCTGAGTAGCTGGGACTATAGGCATGCACCCAGCCAATTTTTGTGTTATTTACAGAGGCGGAGTTTCACCATGTTGGCCAGGATGGTCTCTATCTCTTGACCTCGTGATCCTCCCACCTTGGTCTCCCAAAGTGCTGGGATTACAGGCGTGAGCCACTGCTCCCGGCTCAAGCAGAAATTTAAAAGGTGACGAGAAATATGGAATTACTGGTATATTGTAGTATTTCAACAAAATACATCACTTTTAAATTTATCTAATGTAATCTAAATGCCATTATTAATTTAAAAGTATAGAAACAAAACCTTAATGATTGGGAATTTTAATTAATTTTTCTTTGAATTTGTTTGTCCCATCTGTTACTCCCTTTGAATTTTATCCCAATGTTATGTATTTTTATCTTTAAAATCATTTATTGATCATCCATCAAACTTTTCTGTCACAATAATTTGTAAATAAGTTAAAATTTAAAATGTTTTTCCTATGAGCATAAAACCCTAAGTGTTAAAAAATGACTTATGGTTTGAGTTATTTTTACATTTAGTATTAGTGCACAGTTGATTAGATTAACATACATAGATTAAAGTTTTGATTAAATTCATCTTGTATCAGAAATTTATTCTTTAATGAAATGAATGCAGCTGTCTCCTCTCTTCTTTCATTAGTTCTTGTGTTTGGCAGATCTGTTCCTCTATTGAGATTTTGTAGATTTTAAGTGCTTAGGCATAGTTGTTCAAATATATAAGTTAATTCTAATGGAAATTTTATGATATCAAAATCTTCCAAGTTATATGTCAAAAATCACTAGTGATTTCATCATGCATCTATCAGTCGATACTTGCAAAAGAATGGAAACCACCCAACTTGCCAAAGGATTTGTTACCTAGTGCTTAACCATTTATTTTCTTAGCTTCTAGGAAGCATATCAAAAAGGCTTTAGCAAGACTTATTAAATGTCTTATATCAGTTCCCCTCCTTCCCTTCATAGATACTTTCTTTAAAATCAGAAGCAGTTGAGAAAATAGAAGTACTATTAATGTTAATAAAGCTTTGCTATTTTTTTGATTAAAATTATTTTATTTGTTTAAAATATATTTTTGTGAAAACCTTTAGGATGGAGGTTTAGCTTACTCAATTTTTAGAAAATATCTCCTTGTTAACAAAGCCAGTCTCCATTGTCAAACCAACTAGCCATAACAAACTTGATTTGAATCATAACATTTTCCTTCATTTTAAATTTCAAATAAATAGATTAACAGATATTTGGGATAATATGAAAACCATTGAGGAATAAATTGTAGAATGCATACTAAAATATATTACTAAGGTATTTGAGATGAAAATTATATGACTCAAAAAGAATTACAGTAATTTGTTTTTATAATAAGTTAAAAAACATATGCTGCTTATGTTAGATTAAAAATTAAATAAGTAAAATATGAAGCAAGGGATATGATAAAAGCCCTGTTATTCCTTTATTTATTATTTTCTAGACAGAGTTTTACTCTGTCACCTAGGCTAGAGTGCACTGGCACCATCCTGGCTCACTGCACCCTTGACCTCCTAGCCTCAGGTGATACACCCATCTCAACCTCCCCAGTAACTGGGACTACAGGCATGTGTTACTATGCCTGGCTAGTTTTTGTATTTTTTTGTAGCGTCAGTATTTCACAGTGTTGTCCAGGTTGGTCTTGAATTCCTGGGCTCAGGGGATCCCTCAAGTGATCTGCCTGCCTCAGCCTCCTAAAGTGCTGGTATTACAGGCGTAAGCCACTGGATCTGGCCTGTTATTCCTTGTTAAATGTGTGTTCCTACATCTTCTGATCTCTGATCTCAGCTATTAGGTATAGATAAAAGCAAATGAATCAGAAATAACTTTACATTTTTATTTTGGGTACTTAATGAAGGAGAAAGATACCTGCTGCTTAAAGCTACTCATTATTACAGCTAGCATATCTTGTTTTTTGTTAGTAGAAGGTAGAAATATTAAACTGTTGAAAAGCTATGAGAATTGACTAATTAGAATAAAACTTTAATGATATTATTTGACAAAATAGGTTTTAACTATTTTTATCTGTGACTCTCACATAGCACAATTTGAATGACACGGCAGTCCTGGAAAATATTTCTGTTATGTTTAAAGGAGTCAGGCTCCCTAATTGATATTGTTTCAGCTCTCTGAATAGCTTTTTCTTCTAGCTAATAAATACTCAAGAAATGACTTTTGAGAGTTGCATATATTTAAATTCTTGGCCCAGTGCAGTGGCTCACGCCTGTAGTCTCAGTACTTTGGGAGGCTGAGGCAGGTGGATGACTTGGGGCCAGGAGTTTGAGACCAACCTGGCCAACATGGCAAAACCCTGTCTCTAATTAGCCAGGTGTGGTGGTGCATGCCTGTAATCCCAGCTACTTGAGAGGCTGAGAATCACATGAATCTGGTAGGTGGAAGTTGCAGTGAGCCAAGATTGCACCACTGCACTCCAGCCTGAATGACACAGCAAGACCTTATCTCTTAAAAAAAAAACACCCAAAACTTGAAAAAAATATGTCTTTTTATATATCTATTTTTTTTAAAACCAGTGTTCTCTTTGCATTGCTTTTATCATATTCTCCCCTAAGAGCAATGCATTCTTGGACAGTACTGAGTGGAGGTGGAAGTGTGGCGGGAATGCTTGTTAAAGGAAACTTTAAACAATTGCGCATAGATTATGATCTATTAGAATTTAGGATGTTCTAGCAGGGGCCAAAATGTCTTTAACTCTGAAATATATGTGACTGGAAAAGACAAGAATCCCAGTAATGGATCGTTTATGCCACCCAATTACCATTCATAAATGCTTCCCTGAAATAATATTTTGGCTTGTCTGTTTGTTTGGGTCTCTGGAGTTTATTATTCCTTCAGGCTCTGCATCATAAATTCTGAATGGAGGTAAGATTCATACTTTTTTGTGGGTGGCACAGAGCTGGAAGATAAAGAGGGGAGGGCCTGTTTTAAAAGGGAAGAAGTACATGTGGAAGGTATCTGTAAACAGATTCCTGGGAAGTCTGCCACTGTCTCTTGTGTACCTCTAGAAAGAAAGAAAAGAAAGACAACAGATAGGCCCCTTAGAGTTTATGCATTTAATAGGGAAACTCTTTAATTGCTTAATGAGAATGATTTAGAAATTATATGGAAAAAGTTCCAAGGGGGGCATCAGGGAACTAGTTGAGACAGGTACAGTGACATTTACAGCGGATAATGATAACTTTGGACAAAGTACTCAACAGAAGAAAAGATTAAGGGTGGATACAGGAACTTCAGAGTCATATTGAGAACATGCAGCCTGGGGACAAACTGCTCCCCTTACCTCACAGGCTCCTAAGATGGTTACTGTTTCATCACAGCCCAGTAATTTATGTTGGAACAGCAACTGAGATGTCAAAAAAGATTACATTATGTTAAGTGACCTGGTTAAGATGATGGAAGAACTTTATGGTTTATTTTAGAAGGTTTTTTACAGAAATAGTTAATGTAAAAGAAATTTTATTGCTTAAAAGAGTAAGTTTTAAAAGAACTCCAAGTTGTCATGAAAATCCTCTTAGGAAGCCTCTTCATATGTGACAGTACTTTAATTCTCAGATGACAAATTAAGGGTGTACTTTATTTTTGGTAAAATGATTTTTCTCTTGATTTCACCATTATCCCTTATGTCTCAGTTGTGTAAAACAGTATGTTGAAAAATCTTGGTTAATTTGGTTTATTCTAGCTTAGTGTTTCTGCAGTGTCATTCTCCAGACAGCAGCAGCACCAGCAGCACCTGGGAACTTGTCAGAAATACAAATTCTTGGGCCCTTTTCAGACCTATTGAATTTGAAACTTTGGGAGTATAGCTCAACAGTCTGTTTTTTTAGAAAGGCTTTCAAGTGATTGTGATACGTGCTGAAGTTTGAGAACCACTGGCCTAGCTTCCATCTGAATTGTTTCTGACAATTATTTTTGATTTTAGAAACTTGGAAGTCCATAGACATGAGACATTAAATGACTGGCTCGTAGACACAGTTCTGGTCAGTAGTAGGGTTGGGTCAAGAATGCGGATCTATTTATAGATTTAAATAAAGTATTTAATTGCATGATGGTATATCTACTAAATACAGGTATAAAAATGTTTAAAAAGGTGTGAACAGATACAAACAAATTGAATCTGTTCCAATATATAAGATGTGAATATATATATGTCCATAGATCTGATAATACACTGTGGTGGAGTAAAGTTTGGGAATGCACAGATGGTTAATATTTGAAAATTAATTAGTGTAAGTTATATTGACAGAATAAAGAAAAATCGTGATCACCTCAGTGGATATAGAAAAAGTTTCTGGTAAAATTTAGTACCAATTTATGATAAAAACTTGCAGCAAATTAATAGAGGCAAAGTTCCTCAGTGCAGTAGAGCAGCCTTTCTCAGTCTTCTTACTTGTAGAGGAACTCTTGAAATAATTTTCAGGTCTCAGAGAACCCGTTCAGAGAATTGTTATACCTCCAGTTCGCATATATTAACCTAATCAGTAAGTTGTAGATATGATGAGTTAATAATAATTGTCAGTGTTCTTTTGACAAGAGAATTTTCGTCTTTGGATTTATTTTGCCCAACTTATTAGCCTGCTCTTTGTGTGTGTAGTTGCTCCCTCCTCCCCAGAAAGGATCTCCACACTAGTGCAAGTCAGTGGTATAGGCAGAGGAAACTTGAGTATTTTTCTTTTTTAAAATTTTCTACTTGATTTCTTCTTTCAACTTATCAAAGTAGGCAACTTATACTTGTTATCAGTTGGGCAGAAGCTTGAGATAAGAAAGGATCCTTTACCCAGGTTCACATTGTGTTGTAAGAAGGGGAAAGTATTGTTTAATTTTGTGTTGTAGTTCTTCCAGGCGGTTTTTGAGAATGCTTCAAACTTGCTGGTATCCTTTTTCAAGTCCAAACAGCATTACAAGATTTCCTTTGCCACATCATTTTTCCAGAGATTCAGTTTTCCTTTGAAATCCAAACACTTTTTTCTAAACTTATTCAACTGGTTCATATTATTTTAAAAAGTCTGGTAAGAGGCTAGCTCCTGCAGTCACTCTTCATCTTCAAAGCACTCAGTAAAGGATGGCCTACTATTTTCTTGAAACTACTTCTATAATTCAGCTTTCAGCTTCAGTGTTCTGTTGAGAATACCTCCTCTGGTAAGCCACTGGATTTCTGTATGTAGCAAGAGATTTAGGTGCCCAAGTGTACTGGTCTGTGCTTAATAAAGCAAATCATTTTTTTTTTTTTTTTTTTTGAGATGGAGTTTCACTCATGTTACCCAGGCTGGAGTGCAATGGCACGATCTCGGCTCACCGCAACCTCCGCCTCCTGGGTTCAGGCAATTCTCCTGCCTCAGCCTCCTGAGTAGCTGGGATTACAGGCATGTGCCACCATGCCCAACTAATTTTTTGTAGTTTTAGTAGAGATGGGGTTTCACCATGTTGACCAGGATGGTCTTGATCTCTTGACCTAGTGATCCACCCGCCTCAGCCTCCCAAAGTGCTGGGATTACAGGCTTGAGCCACCGCGCCTGGCCAGCAAATCATTTTTAAACATCATTCAAGACTTTTTTTTTTTTTTTTAATGGAGATGGGGTCTTGCTATGTTTCCCAGGCTGGTCTTAAACTCCTGGTCTGAAGCAATCTTCCTGTGTTGGTCTCCCAAAGTGCTGGGATTGTAAGTGTGTGCCACTGCACCTGGCCTATTCAAGACATCTTACAGGGATTTTTTTTTTTTTTTTTTTTTTTGGAGTTGGAGTCTTGCTCTGTCGCCAGGCTGGAGTGCAGTGCCGCAATCTTGGCTCACTGCAACCTCCGCCTCCTGGGTTCAAGCTATTCTTCCGCCTCAGCCTCCCAAGTAGCTGGGACTACAGGCGCTTGCCTCCACACCCGGCTAATTTTTTTGTATTTTCAGTAGAGACAGGGTTTCGTCATGACGAGAATGGTCTCGATCTCTTGACCTCGTGATCCGCCCGCCTTGGCCTCCCAAAGTGCTGGGATTACAGGCGTGAGCCACCGTGCCCGGCCAGGGATTTTTGATGATAGTACCTCTCTGAAAAAAAGCAGTGTCATGAGTTTTTGTTTGTTTGTTTGTTTTTTGTTTTTAAACAAGAGAGGTAAAATCTTGCTGTGAGCCAGCCACTAATAAAGGAACTTCACTGAAGATGCCAACGCAGTTTCTCTAAGATGGACTTCTTGTTTCCAGATATGAAGACATCACATTGATGTGCTTTGTTTATGGTAGTTTTCTTGCAGCACAAAAATTTTTATTGAAATGTAGTATTGTTTAAAAAATGTACAAGACATGCATGGTGAAATCTGTTCATTTGTCAGCCTGGATAAACAAGCTGTTTCTCAGTTTATTAACCTCTTAGCATCATGTGACATGCCATCAATTTGTCAACTTACCATACTGTTTGAGAGTAGAGCTGTTCAGTTTCTCATGATGTGCGTTTTACTCACTGTCATTGAACATGCTGACATGATTAGGTTCCTATCAGTGGTGTGATGCTACCCACATCCCCCCTTTTTGGACAGTAAATTCTGCTACTAATAATGTGCTTTATAAGCCCTTTCACTGAATGTGATTTAAAAAACAAAAAGTAAGAGCTTTACTCTGAGATACCAATAAGTACCTTGACTTGTCCTATAGCTATGATTTCTGTTTTAGTGTTTTTTTTTTTTTCCAGTTTTGCTGGAGTCGTAAATTGTTTGCAGCAGATGCTGCACAATGGACTAGGATACCTGGGATTTCTAGCCTAGTAAAATCCATTGATGAGTAGTTTTCACTGTAGTGGTAGCCTGGTGTTCTCTATCTCTTGCTGCACTGGTGCAGTAACATGGTCCAGAAGATTATAGTTCTTTTTTACTAAACTTATTAGAGTTTTTCCTGGGCCTAGGTTTGGAATTCTCTTCTATCACAAACTGCATCTTCAGAAATCATCACACTGGGTCAGGTGCGGTGGCTCACACCTGTAATCCCAGCCGAGGTGGGAGGGTCACAAAGTTGGGAGATCGAGACTATCCTGGCCAACATGGTGAAACCCCGCCTCTACTAAAAATACAAAAATTAACTGGGCATGGTTGTACATTCCTGTAATCCCAGCTACTCAGGAGGCTAAAGCAGGAGAATTACTTGAACCAGGGAGTTGGAAGTTGCAATAAGCTGAGATCGTGCCGCTGTACTCCAGCCAGACTCAGTCTCAAAAAAAAAAAAAAAAAATCATCACACTGGACTATCAGACGTGTTTATAAGACATAAATGCTAATAAGTTATAAAACTAAAGGGAATGATAACTGAGAAAGTTGTAAAAAATATGAAAACTTCATAATACATTTTACTTTTATTGTTATATAATCCATGTTTTGCAACATTTCATAGTGGTAAGAAGCAGTTGAGTCTTAGTGTGTCAAAATTCTTTGTTCAGAATGAATGTTTTCCTTAGATTTTCTGTTACACCAATAGAGCTTGTTGCTCCTGTAAGTCAGTGGCACTGTGTGAAGGAATGTTGGAAGATGTAATTTGGGAAGGGTTTGCTGACATTGTCAGCCTTACTGTGCTTTAGTTTGTGCCATAAAGAGCTTACCAATTATCAGTGGCCTACATGCTCCTATTGCATAAAAAATGGATAGTGGTAGGCCAGGCACAGTGGCTCATGCCTGTAATCCCAGCACGTTGGGAGACTGAGGCAGGTGGACCACTTGAGGTCAGGAGTTTGAGATCAGCCTGGCCAACATGACGAAATCCGATCTCTACTAAAAATACAAAAATTAGCTGGGCTTGGTGGGGCATGCACATAGTCCCAGCTACTTGGGAGGAGGCTGAGGCACAGGAATCGTTTGAACCCGGGAGGCGGGGGTTGCAGTCAGCTGAGATCATGCCACTGCACTCCAGCGTAGGTGACAGAGTGAGACCCTGTCTCCAAAAAACAAAAAAACCCTGATAGTGGCTTTAGCAAAGTGAACATAGCTCTACTTGCACACTGCCACATGGTGCTGGAAGATTCCTTATGAAACCATTAGTTTGGCTGTTCAGTAGTTGCCTGTTATTGTGAGTACTAGCATCACATGATGTGAGAAGTTAAAACAAATGTAATCCTAGCACTTTGGGAGGCTGAGGTGGGTGGATCATGAGGTCAGGAGTTTAAGACCAGCCTGGCCAAGATGTTGAAACCCTGTCTTTACTGAAAATACAAAAAGTAGCCAGATGTGGTGGCAGGTGCCCGTAGTCGCAGCTACTTGAGAGGCTGAGGCAGAGAACTGCTTAAACCTGGGAGGTGGAGGTTGCAGTGAGCCAAGATCACACCAGTGCACTCCAGCCTGGGCGATAGAGCGAGACTGTGTCTCAAAAAAAAAAAAAAAAAATTATTTTTTAAAAATCATGATTTCTTCTGGAAACCCAGAGTTTTGTGAAATGCTGGTTGAGAAACCCAGTGGTAAGAGGGCAACTATGAAAACCTAGATTTAACATCATACTTAACGATAGAATAGCAAACGTGTTTTCTTTAGGTCAGGAAAAAGACAAGGTTACCAAATTGTCGCAACTCATGTTCTGTATTGTCTTGGAAGTTCTTCCTGGCATGAAAGTAGTAGTAACATAAAAATTGGAAAGGAAGAAGTAAAGCACAGATGACATGAAATCAATTTCCACAAATTTGCAATTGGAAAATAAGAAAGTGAAATAAAATATGAAATGCAGCACACCAAAAGTCATCCAATAATTAGGAAGAAATTTAACAAAAATGTTTTCTTCACTGAAAACTAAATCAAGTCTTTAGTTTTAGGGCATTATGTATATACTCTCTATAAGCACTTTTTCATTTTTCTTTAATTCCTGATCTATGAGTAAGGGATTTTCAGTTTCTTTTAGTCCTTTATTGCTCATCACTCATTTTGATCTAATAGCTTCCCCTTGGCAACTTGATAGCTGCGTTTTTGGCTTCTCTGTTTACAAAGCTCAGTGAAAATGGTTAGGCTTTCATATGTTGATTATTACTCCTGTCATTGATTTTGTTCTGATTCCAATAATTTGGTGCAGTCTCAACTCACTGCAACCTCTGCCTCCCAGGTTCAAGCCATTCTCCTGCCTCAGCCTCCCGAGTAGCTGAGACTACAGGCGTGCACCATCACGCCCAGCTAATTTGTGTATTTTTAGTAGAGATGGGGTTTCATCATGTTGGCCAGGATGGTCTCGATCTCTTAACCTCGTGATCTGCCCACCTTGGGCTCCGAAAGTGCTGGGATTACAGGTGTGAGCCACCATACCTGGCCTAAAATAATACCATTAAAATTTTTTTTTAACAGTGTAAGAAGCTCTTTTGCTGACTGAAAGCAGTTTGATTAAACGAGTGCTGTGTCTGAAACACCTTCATTTAACCATTTCTTTCAAAGTGATGAAGGTCTTATTTTAAGTTTAGTTTGTTTGGATACTTGGTTTTAATTGTTGTCATAGTGATAAAGATCCTTACAAAGATTTATAGATCCCAAAGATTTATAGATCTCAAAGGAATGAGTGTGTGTGTGTGTGTATACACACACACAAACACACACACACACACACACTTGTATATATATATATAAGTTTATATATATATAAGTTTTATATATATATATATGTGTGTGTGTGTGTGTATGTGTGTGTGTGTATATATATATATAAGTTTCCTATTGTTGCTGTAAATTACCACAAATTTAGTGGCTTAAAACAACCAAATTGATTATCTTCCAGTTTTGGAAGTCAGAGGTCCAAAATGCAGGCTTTCTGGGCTAAAGTCAGGCTGTAGGAAGGTCCAGTTCCTTCTGGAAGCTCTGAGGGGAGCATCTGTTTCTTCTGTCAGTTTCTAGAAGCTACCTGCATTCCCTGACTCATAGCCCTTCCTCCAGTCTCTTCTGTTGTCACATCTCTTGCGAGTCACTGGCACTCTCCTGCCACCCTCTTTCCCTTATAAGGGACACCTGGGAATCTGCAGTAATGTCTCCTGTGTCAGGATCCTTGGTTTAATCACGCCAGTGAAGTCCCTTTTGTCATACGAGGTAACACAGCCATAGGTGACGGAGATTTGGATGTGTATGTCTTTGGAGGGAGGGTGTGCATTATTCACTCAGGGGCTGCAGATCATTCTTACAAGATTATGACACTGATTGTTTTTTTAATCTTGACAATTTGGCTAGTAAACTCCTGTTTTTAATAGGTTTATGCAAAATATTCAAAATGGATTAAAATTTTTAAATTATTGACAATTTTGATTTTAAATTCACAGAGGGGTTTTGTTTGGAAGACTTTTAAAAAAATAAAGATTGTAAAACAGTACTCAAAATACTATAAAATTACTAAAATAGGCTGGGTGTGGTGGCTTACACCTGTAATCCCAGCACTTTGGGAAGCTGAGGAGGGCAGATCATGGGGTCAGGAGATTGAGGAGATTGAGACCATCCTGGCCAACATGGTGAAGCCCCATCTCTACTGAAAAAAATAGCTGGGTGTGGTGGTTTGTGCCTGTAGTCCCAGTCACTCAGGAGACTGAGGCAGGAGAATCGCTTGAACCCGGGAGGTGGAGGTTGCAGTGAGCCAAGTTCGCGCCACTGCACTCCAGCCTGGCAACAGAGCAGGACTCTGTCTCAAAAATAATAAAGAAAAATAAAGTTTAGAAAATAGTTTATGACATTTTTAAGATATGCAGATAAGACAGTTTTTATTCTTACACCTTTTAAATTCAGAAATCATGTAATGATGGAAATATTTCCAAAAGAGTCTTTTTCAAAATGCTCTTTCCATGGCATGGATTTCTTTCAAAAAGCGGTTACTTTTACACATTATTAAATGGCCAGCTTTACTTTGAAGGAACAGATGACTTATTTTATTTTTTAAATTATTGTCAACAAACTATAAATAACTGCTATAATTATAGAATATTGAGCAGATTTGAGACATTTGCCTTTTTGTAAAGAGAAATTTGTAATTCATTTCTTTTTTCTTTTTCCTTTTTTTTTGGAGGCAGAGTCTCACTCTGTTGTCCAGGCAGGAGTGCAGTGGTGCGATCTTGTCTTACTGCAACCTCTGCCTCTCAGTTCAAGCGATTCTCCTACTTCAGCCTCCCATGTAACCGGGATTACAGGCACCGGCT